GCGGGGGAGCTGTTTCCGAGGGCAGGATCCTCAGAGGAGGTGGCAGCCACGCGCTTGCATGTACAACAGCTGGTCTGCATCCGGGGACTAAGAGGAAGCCAGGATTTGGGAAGAGGAGGAGTTGGAGTTGGAAGCAGAAAGGAGTTAGAGGAGTAGCTCAAGGCTGTTACTGGTTCAAGTTTCGATTTTAGGAAAGTGGGAAGGAAAGCTCTTCAGGGCATTTCAGAGATGTCGTAGCCGCTTCTATTTCCCTTCTCTCTCCAGCCTCACAGGCCCAGGATGATATGCCCAAGTCCTCATTTTCCTCTGCAGCGCTAATCCGATCCCTCCCGCTGCCTCCCATCTGCTATGGAGCTGGAGCGAGAGGGAGAAGGGACTCTGAGCCCCCAGCAGGGAGGACTGCTCCCATGTTTGACCCTTGCCCAGTCGTCTTTGAGTAGGTCCTGCCCACACTTTTCTGCAGAGGCCAGCTGAGCCACTGTGCCAGGCCTGAGCACCGTGTAAGAAGGGTGCTGGCGGTGTGGTCAGACCCCCTTCTGATCTGGGACTCAGGGCCTGGAGGTGCAGTTGTGCGCTCGCTGGCCCGGAAAACATTGCTCTGGAAGGCAGCATTCTTTCCCCTGCTCGTCGTTCTTTGCTCACAACATTCTTAAGGTTTCTCTTGGAGTATTTCCCTCAGTAACCAGCAAGCCAGCAAAATCACACCCCTCAATACTTAACAGACATCTTTTTAACCAGTGCCACTCACCTCTGTATCCAGGTTAGCTCTGAATTCTGCTTGCTCATTTCCAAACATTGAACTTACTCTAAGCAGATGCAAACGTGCCCCCGTGGGGAGACATGGAACACAGCTCTCCCATGGTGCGCTGACACATTCTGGCTTAGGGGCATGTTCCTGCCTGGCTCTTTTGGTTTGGGGGGGGTGGGTGTTCTATTCCTAGACCTCTAGGCAGTGTTGCAGGCCTCTGTTAGGGGACAGGCTGGGCTGCTTCTCCTGCGGGCTCATACATAGTGGGGAGGAGTCTCAGTGGACCATCCCAAGTTGCTGCCCTGAGCCTCAAGTGTCTGGCAGAGACCTGGTAGGGAGAGAGAGACAAGGCTGTGAGCCTCTCTGGGGAAGGCCCATTAGGAATAGCACTCTACTCCCTGCTGCTGCCCTCTCCTGAGCCGTGGCTTTGGGAATTGACGTTGAACCACAGCCTGCAGGGCTCCTAAGGGGCCACTCTTCTCCCTTGTCCTTGGGGCCTCAGACAGCAACGGTGGGGCTTGTCCCGTAGGGCACACGTCACCTGTGTCTTAGGGGCCACCTCTCGGTGACACCCCTTGGGGTGCGACATCTGATGTTCTGTGTCTCTGTGAGCCTTGGCGCTGGTAGGTGGGTATTCAGACCAGTGATGTGCTGTCCCCTACCCCCGCCAGGCAGCCCCCCGAGCCTGCAGCCTCTCCAGAGCAGCTCTCCACGGCAGAGGCTGCACTGGACACCGTGGAAGCGGCCGTGGCCCAAGAACTTGGGCAAGACGAGAGGCAGCTGCTGGAGTCGAAGCGAGAGAAGATGCAGCAGCTGCAGGAGAAGCTGTGGCAGGAGGAGGAGGAGGAGATCCTTCGGCTTCACCAGCACAAAGAGCAGACGCTCAGGTCCTGCCTTCCCCTTCAGGGCCTCGCAGGGACACCCCCTCCCTACCCTGGGGACCACAGGGATGCCCGTAGCCTCACTAGGACGATCCTGTGAGAGATCTACCCAGTAGCCTCTGCTTTATCTCATCGGCAGCCCTTCTTGCAGAGGAGGCTGGGAAGTGGAGTGCCTCAGGTGGCCTCTCTGAATAAAGTCTGAGTCCCGTTAGGAAAGAAAGGAGGACGGACGTGGAGAAGAAGGTGGCACGCAGTTCATCATAGTCCCAGGACGGCAGGAGTGCCACCAAAGAGCAATACTGTACTTACTTGGCGGTAGTTATTATTTCACTAAAGGCTCAGTCTTGGCCTGCTGGACAGGATATCCAGAACATCGCTGGTTTTAGATGCTACATGTGAAGAGTATGTAGATCATACCTATGAAGAATTTGTGGAAAGAGAAGAGAAATAAAAAGCCAGCCCTTGAGCACCTGCAGGCCAGAGGCAGTCTCTCTCATTGGCCTGGCGCAGGCTCCAGGGGCTCCTTATATCATGCCCTCCTGCCAGGGAGCATCCCAAAGAGCTGGCCTCCCCACGGCATCCTCCCCTTCCAGCCAACCGAAAATTGGGGCGGAGGTCCCCCAAACAGGTGCGACTCGGTTTACTTCAAGATGCAGTGCCGGGACCAGCAGGTGGCATGGTGGCTAAGGCAGCTGGATTCCCACAGGGCCGGCTGTGGAGAAATCATCTTCTAGATCATGATTTTCTTAGACTTGGATTCCGGGTGAACAGCGTGTGTCCCCAGTTGTGTGAGGCTGCATGAGGCATAAGGAGGATGTGGTTTATGTGAGCAGGGGTCTGCCTGCTTAGGATGAAACGGTCATGGTCATTGGCCTATAGTAAGATAGCTTTCGGGCTGGCAGGTGGCATGGTGGTTAAGGTGCTGGATTCCCACATGGCTGACCACGGTTCAAGTCCTGGACCTGACGATTTGCTTTCTCACTCTCTCTCTGTCTCTGGTGAGCACATGGGCCCTGAAGCAAAAAACTTAAAATAAGTAATTAAATAATTCTTTTTTAAAAAAGATAGCTTTTGTGGATACTCGAGACTTGTATGTGGTTTGCGGCTGGATAATGCTGCTCAAATTCAGCAAACATTTATTGAGCACCTCTTTTACGTCAATTACTGTGCTCGGTACCTGGGATATAACAAGTTTTCAGATGAGATTGTGTCTCTGGAGAAGCTCCTAGCCAGGCCAGGAAAGCGGAGGCACGGTAGATTGATGAAGATATGGTGTGGTGCGTGGTTCACAGGACACGGGGCAAGAAAGGGCCACATGCAGGCCCAGCTGCAAGCGTGCACTGGGTGCTGGCCTGGGCACATGGGGCCATGTGGGAGCCCCGGGGTTTGATTTGCAGCCCACCTTAAAGGGCTGAGTGTAGTGGCACGTGTCTGTCATCCCAGCTACTCAGGCAAGGGAGGAGGCTCGTGACACAGCGAGACCCTGTATGAAAACACACATACGTGCGTGGATGCGAAAGGGCCACATAGAAGGTGCGACAGGAACAGAGAGGTGTATCGGTGAGCTTGGAGGGAGTTGGAAAGACTTCCCAGAGAGGAGGAAGCTGGGCGTTGAATGAGGAATGTGGGTTTGTCAGATCAAGAGGAGGATTCTAGACAGGAACCAGCATGAACCAAAGGGCAGGGAAGAGAGTGGGGGGCTTTACAGATGGTGACTGACCTAGTGTGCCAGGACAGAGTCTCTAGGGTGGAGGGTCAAGCATGTGGAACCAGAGTCCAGTTGGGGTGCCTGCAGTCATCCTGGGGTGACTGTCATGCCAAGGTGAACTTGTAGGCCGAGGGGATAGTTGGGGAACATGCTGTGTTGGGCACCAAGCAGCCTGCATGTACACCAGGAGGGGTCACAAGGAGGAATCATGGAGCCAGAGGCTGAGGTTGGATATTTAGGGACTTCACCGAGGCCACAGACCACTGGAGGCTGAGGGCCAGGGAGTATGAATAGAAGAGGTAAGGCCTTCATGGTCCCTCTGACGACGAATTTGCCTGTCCCTCCCTTCCCAGTTCCCTAAAGGAGCAGCTGCAGAAAGCCACCAAGGAGGAGGAGGCCCACATGAGAGCAGAGGAAAGCAGGAAGCTGTCTGAGCTCCGAGCCCAGGTCCAGGCCAGCGCGGCAGCAGACGAGGACCAGATCAGGTGAGTGCCTGCTGTGAGCTGACCGGCCAGCGGTGGTCCCCCAGTGCATGGACCCACCCCCATCCCATCCTGTCTGCCAGGGCCGAGCAAGAGGCCTCCCTGCAGAGGCTGCGAGAAGAGCTGGAGACTCTGCAGGAGGCTGAGAGGGCCAGCTTGGAACAGAAAAGCAGGCAGATGCTGGAGCAGCTCAAGGAAGAGATGGAGGCCTTGGAGAAGAGAGAGCAGGCCGCCCTGAATGCTGAGAAGGAGCAGGCTCTGCAGCAGCTGAGGGAGCAGCTGGAAGGGGAGAGGCAAGAAGTGAGTGAGCTGAGGGGGGCCCTGCCCACCCACGTCCTCTAGAAGGCTGCCCAGGGGAGGGACTGGGTGCAGGGGGAGAGGAGGAGGGGCAGGCCTGCATGTGTGATGGTGAGCCAGTGGGAGTGGGTGGTGTGCACAGCCAGGTGTGGAAGACCGTGAACCGGCCCTCAGGGCCACGAGTGTGTGCATTGGCTCAGCTCAGAGCAGGCACTGGCAGGTGTCCTGAGCCCCTCCAGGGGCAGGCTGGACTGGTAGCAGCAGCTGGGTATTGTCATTGCGGGGGCCCATCAGAACCTTGACGGGTGGTGTCCCGTGGCTTGGGATGGTTTCATGGCTGGAGATGAGGGCACTGCGTCCCGTGCCTGTGGGGTACTCAGTGGCTTCTTCTGTTCCCTTCGCTCTCCTGACTTAGAGCGATGGGCTAGCGACTTAGCAGGTCTCTCCCTCATCCACACCCTGCTCCCTCCAGTCACATGGTCCCCTCCAGGCTAGATGTTGGAGTCGGACCAGGTAGAACTTATTTCTTTGGAGACATGTGGAACTTCGGGTATTAGACATGGAAAAACTACAGCAAGGTGGGGGCGCTTCACTACACTGCACATGTCCTCCTTGGCGGCCTTATTTTTATTTATTTATTTTCATGATAGAAAATGGGGACCCCAGTAGGGTTCCCATGCCATGATCCATCTCGGTGTCAGCCAGCTCAGATCATGGGCACGTGGTTGTGTGCACTGGGTTATAACGAGAGCCCCAAAGCGAGCCTCTCGCTCCCCACTTGCACACACGTGCACACCCTGGGTCCTCCCTAGGTGGGTGCAGAGCAGGGACAAGGGACAAACCATGGTCGGAGATTGTGGGAGGACTTCCTCCCTGGCACCCTGCAATGGTGAAGTCTTTTCTATTAGATTATCGGGACAGTCGTGATGTATTTTTCTTTTTTTTTTTAATGTAAAAATGTGTCATGACTTTCCAGACCACCGAGTATTTTATTTATGTATGTTTGGCCTTTTTACTGAAGCATTAGAAGTTCCCTTCCCCTCAGTGGGGTGACCCCTCTATGAGGGAGGCTGTATTAATAGTTACTATTAGTAACCTGAACCCAGGTCCTCGCCCATGTGGGTCCAGCTGCACTACTGCTGTGCCCCTGGCTGGCCCCACTTGGGTCTTCTTTCTGGTCACAAGTGTTGTCTGTGTGGGTGTGGCCTCACCTAGGGCTAGGGCTGGGAGCAGGGCCCTGATGAAATGCCCTCGACTCTGGCCTTCCTGTTCCTGTTCCCTTGCCAGTTGCACACGTCAGAGACTGAGTGCCAGAGGAACAAAGATGTGTCCCTTATCGCGAGGGCTGGGGGTGGTCTTCCTGGCTTGGCCTCCCTGGTCAGCACCTGACCGGTTGTGCTGCCCTGCACCCTCACAGGCCCTGTGCTTCTCCCCAGGCAGTGGCAAGGCTGGAGAAGGAACACAGCGCCGAGCTGGAGCAGCTCTGCTCCTCGCTGGAAGCCAAGCACCGGGAGGTGAGACCTGGCCAGTGCTGGCCCAGGGGTGCAGAGCCTGATTGTGAGCCTGAAGACCCCTGCATGGCTGGTCACAGAAGAGCTCATACCCGGCTATTCAGGAGCGAGCCTCTCTCCTTCCAGGCCCTGGGGGTGGAAGCTGGTCCCGGGGACTGAGTCCCCCTGGCAGCTGTGCAGTCTCTCTGAGTCACACTGCCCTGTGCGTGCTGGGGCCTCCTCAGGTGGTCACTAGTCTCCAGAAGAAGATAGAAGAAGCCCAACGGAAAGAGGAGACCCAGCTGCAAGAGAACCTAGGGTGGGCAGAGCAGCGAGCCCTCCAGAGGGTTCACCAGGTGATGGAGTACACGCAAGAGGTGAGGGCCGGACGGTGTCTTTGACGTTCATGTGTCCTTGTTGTGCCCTCTCATGGCCTGCTGAGCCATCCTGCCCTAAATGCCCTCCAGTTTGCTGTTCCACCTGCACTTCTGGTTCTGTTTCTGCCTCAGTTCCCTCGGATGCAGATCCTCCTCCAGCCCCATGCCCTGCACACATGTGGGGAGTATGGCCATGCATGTGCAGGGTGCTTTCTCCACGCATGGAGGGGGTGTTCTGGGGGAGGTATGTTGGGGAGGCACATGTGAGCCTTCAGGTGTGCCAGGCTCTGTGTGCCGGCCCACGCTCAGTCCTGCAAGCCGTACCCCTGCCGTGGGCCCTGCAGCTCAGCAGCCTCCTCCAAGACAAGCGCCAGGAGGTGGAGCGGGAGCACGAGAGGAAGATGGACAGGATGAAGGAGGAGCACCGGCGGGTGGTGGCTGAGGCCAGGGAGCAGTACGAAGCCGAGGTAGCTTGGCCACACTCCCTGGCACATTCTCACACATGCATGCACGTGCACACCCTGTCCTCCCTAGGTGGGTGCAGGGCAGGGACAAGGGACACATTGTGGTCAGAGATTGTGGGAGGATATTTTCACCTGGCACCCTGCAGTGGTGAAGTCTTGTATCAAGCTGTTGCGAAAGTCATGGCATATTTTTCTTTGCAAACATGCAACATGACTTTCCAGACAACCCAATATTTTATAAATCTATTTCTTTTTTGCCTTTTTACTAAAGCATGAGACGTTCCCCTCCCCCTCAAAGAGGGATGACCCCTCCATCAAGCAGACTGTACTTTCTTCTGAGAGTAACAGTAACCTGTGTGGGTTCGCACTGGGTGCTAAGCCCGTTCCCCTTCAGTCCCCATGGCGACCTTAAGGAGGTACGAGCTGTCACCATCTGCATTTTACGGATGAGAACCCTGGGATTGGCAGAAGGGCTAGGATTCAAGCACAGGCCGTCTGACTCCAGAGCCTTCATTCCCATGCCATAGCATCAGGTTTAATTGAAACTTTAGAGGGCCAGGAGATGGTGTCATGATTATGTTGCTGGACTCACACATGGCTGACCGCAGTTCGAGTCCCAGACCCGGTGGCTGAAACTCATGCTGGGCACGTGTGCATGCATGCCCAAAATCCTATAAGGAGAGTGGAGGAGGAGAAAGGATTGTGGCATGGCCATCCCCCTGGGTGTGTGTGTGTGTGTG